CTAGAATGTTGGAGGCTGAGAGGCCACCTGATAGAAGTACACTAAATTATGAGGGGCATGGAGAAAGTGAACAGTTGGGGGTCTTTTTCCCCAGGGCAGAAATGTCAAATACAAGGGGGCATAGGTTAAGGTGAAAGGGGTTAAGTTTAAAGGAGCTGTGCAAGGCAAGTTTTTAAAAAATTGCACTCTGTATTAGGTGCCTGGAACGCATTGCCAGAAGAGGTGGTAGCAGCAGCTACGATACCAACATTTAATAGGCATTTAGACTGACAGATGAACAGGCAGGGAATAGTGGGATAAGGACGATGCACAGGTAGATGGGATTAGTTCAGAATGGCATTATTGTCGGTGCAGACATGGTGGGCCAAACAGCCTGCTCCTCTGCTGTACAGTTCTACGTAAAGATCACGGAACTTATGTTCCAGCTTTTCCTCTGCCAATAATTCAGCCTCCTTATTTGTTTGTGCGCATGTCTAAGGAGGAGTTATGAGGGGATTAGAGTTTTAGTTATTAGTGCTGCATGCCAATGATTTATATATGTTTACTTGTAGCAACAGACCAATCACTTATAACAAGTAATAATTCTTCTTTAGTACAGAAACCCAGCCTGGGTTTTCTACTGACCTTGGTATGAAAGTCAAGTAAATTGGGATACTGTGCATACCTTCAAAAAAAAAATAAATAAATAAATAAAAGCTTTAATATATTTGGTATTACTCCAGAAATAGTGGGGCCCAGTTTACGGTGGGTTGTAATGGTATTGCATCACAAGCCTCATGAGTGCCTTGTACATAGCCACAGTATTTACACAGTTGCTATAATTCAGTTTCTGGTCAGTGGTGACTCCCAAAGAGTTGATAGTGGGGAGATTTGGTGATGCTGATTCCCTTCTGGAAAGTACAATGGTGGCCCGCCACTCTAGAACTTCAGCAGTTCACTACTGCCTTCTCCAGGGAAATTGGGTTCGGCAATAAATACTGGCTTAGCTAGCGCTTCCTACATCCTGTAAATGAATAATAAGAAAATACCATTAAGGATCAAGAGACTTTAGTTGGATTCCGTCTCGTTGCAGATGTCACTACCTGGCACAAGTACAGTGTGAATGTCGCTTGACACTAATCAGCTCAAGCCACATCTTGATACACAGTGGCTGAGTAGTTAGCATTGCTGCCTCAGAGTGCCAGGGACCCAAGACTGATTCCACTCTCCGGTGACTGTTTGAGAGAGTTTGCACATTCTCCTCATATCTGCGTGGGTTTCCTCTGGGTGCTCCAGTTTCTTCCCACACAGTCCAAATATGCGCAAGTTAGGTGTATTGATGATACTAAATTGCCCATAGTATATGGGATGTCATAGGACATGCAGGATTACTGGGATACAGTCGGGGGTTGGGTCTGGGTGGGATGCTCTTCTGAAGGTCGGTGTGTACTTGATAGGCTGAATGGCCTGCTTCCATTCTGTAGGGATTCTATGATTCTATACAAAAACAAATTATGTCAAAACCCGAGATGTCACAGATGGTGTAGAATATTGTGCAATTATCAGAAACATCCCTGCCTCTATCCTTATAATGAAGAGGGCAATCACTCTCACACCTCTGCAATTCAGCTCTCATGTCCATACTTGAGCCAAAGCAATAATCAGGACAGGAGCTGAACTGCCCTGGTGGAACTCAAGCTCAGCATCAAGGAGCAGGTTTTTGCTGAGCAAGTGCTGATTGATAGCGCTCTTAACAACCCGTTTCATCACTTAGGGGATGACTGCAAATGGACAGATGGGACAGTAATTTGTTGGATAGGACCTTCCTGTTTTTTGTGGGCAGGACATACCTGGGTAAGTTTTCCACATTCAGCCATTTCTTAACACACTGTGGAGTGAATCAGATTGGCTCAAGACCTACATCTCCGATGGGGACCATAGGAGGTGGTGGAGATAGGTCATCCATCAGCACTTTTGGCCGAAGATGGATGCAAATGCATTAGCCTTGCCTTTTGAAATGATGGTGATGTCTGGGGTAGTGTCCATAAATTACGATTCTGTGGTTATGACTATATCAAGCTTTTGCTTCACTGGTCTGTGGGATAGTTATCCTAACTTTGGTACAAGCCCACATACGCTAGTGAGGAGGCCATTGCAGGTTGAGACGGTTGGGTTTGCCTCTGTCATTGCTGGTACCCGGGTCCGTTCAGTTTCAGTTAAAACTTTACATTTTGGTTTGCTTGGCTATTTCAGCGGGATAACCACACTGCTGTGGGCCTGGAGTGACATATAAGACAGACCCATAAGTAGGGCTAATTTCCCTCCCCAAGGGACAGGAGCTGTGCTTTTAAAAGGCAAGAAAAAATAGAGTTGAAAATTATCAGATCAGCCATGATCTGTTTAAATGGTGGAGCAGAATTGATGGGCTGAATGGCTTAATGCTGTTCCTATACCTGACAGTCTTAATATAAAAGTGTGTTTCTGGGACTGCAGAACGTTAGTATGAGGAAAGATCAGATAGGCTAGGATTGTTTTCTTTGGAACTGTGGGGTACAAGTAGACAGTCTATTCTTTCAAATCTGCTGCGTCAGTCTACCTTTTCAGTCTACCTGCCATAACCCTCAAATTGCTTAGCTGTCAAATATCGATCTAATCCTTTAAAGATAGAACATCTGGGGAAGAGACTGAGAGAAGACCAAAGTATATAAAATTATGAGTCGTCTAGATAGTGTGGACAACAAAAGTCCCATTTATTTCAGTTAAGGAGTCCACAATCAGGAACATAAATATAGGATAAGTTAGAGATTCAAAGAGAATTCAATGAGTACATTTTTCATCCCAAGTTAGGTTTGGAACAGGAACTCACTGCCTGAGGGTGATAGAGAAGAAACCCTCATAACATTTTTAAAACAGTACTTGGACAAGCAGCTGGAGGCTATGTAATAAAAACTGAAAAGTGGGATTAGGTTGGACGACAACACGGTAAGATTAGTCTCATTTTCGGTGCTTTGCAGCACATGTTCTATAATGGTTACAATTGAGTAAGCCGAAAATGAGAAAATGGTCCATTTTAGAAAACAGAGAACACTTGTTCAACAAGAACAATGACCCAAATTGCTTCCTTCTGCAACTCAAGGCCTGATGAATAAGTCGAAGTTCAATTTTTGTGTCACCTTATTATTGCATGGGAAGAACTGTAGAGAACACGCAAGTCTGCCAAAACGTGCAAGTTGGAAACATCAACTCTTAACTAGGCGGGAACTAGGAATACTGATCATATCCGTACCGACAGGCAAAAATCTAAACTGCAAAACCACACACTAGTCCTCAGCTGTCATGGCAATGGCAGTCAAGAAATTAACAGCATCGAACAGTGATTCATCTTAAACCACACAGTAACATCAAACATAGGCCTCTGTTCCACACCAGACTTTTCCCACTTCGCTTCATCAACATAAAATTTAGTGTTCAATCCATTGCCTCCTTGTGTAGGGTACCTATTTAACCTGCGTATCTGCTTTAGCATGTGTGCTCTGTACACGACAAACGACAGCACCTTCCGGGGGCCTACAACCTGATGGCCTAAACATGGATTTCACCAGTTTTTAAATCTCCCCATCCCCAGTCTCATCCCATGTCCAACCCTCTCTCTCATCCTCACCTCCTTGACCTGACACAAACTGTCCATCTTCTCTCCCACCTATCCGCTCCTCCCATCCTACTGACCAATCCCCACCACTCCCTACCTGCACTCACCTATCACCATCCCACCTACCCACCCCAGCCCCACCCCTTCTCTCTATTTATTTGAGCTCCCTTTCCCCTCCCCATTTCTGAAGAAGGGTCCCGACTCAAAACATCAACTTTCCTGCTCCTCTGATGCTGCCTGGTCTGCTGCGTTCTTCCAGCTCCACACTGTGTTATCTCCGACGCCAGCATCTGCAGTTCTTGCTGTCTGAGTAGTACTTATAACCTTGCTCTTTAGATGACTACACTATTACATTCCAAAATATAGTCATTAATGCACCACAATTCACATTGATGAAATTATTCACTCATGAGGCAAGCAATAAGATAGCAGAGTTCAGTTAAAAAAACCTGCAAGGGTGATCTTGTTGAACAAAAAACTAAAAATGCTGACTTCAAAAAGGTGTAACTCTGCCTCACATTGCTCCCAATAGAGTCCATGCCATTTTTTTCCCCTTTTGCCCACTGGGAGAATGGGTAGTAGCAGTCTTGAAGATCACTGATTACTCGTGCCGAGGTTCTGAACTAACCAATATAGAATAACTACCAAGGGTTTATCTTTAAAGATACAATCAATTTGGAGTGTGTGAAGTTGCTGCCAGCTCTCTGAAGTTGGGGCTATATTAAAACGCAGTTTATTGGGGTGGGGGGGGGGGGGGGGGGGGCACCAACCTGACCTCAGGACCACAAGTCTCCTAATTATCCCTATACAAAATAGTAAGAAACAAAATTAGATTACTCTGCACTTAATGTGTGGAAGTTAGTATTGTTGCAAAGACCTGCATTTGGATCCAAGTGTTTTCACTTGGCAACTCTGACGTGACTTGGGAGAAAACTCGAGTTAACATTTCCAGAAGAGGAGTCGTATTAGATTCAAAGCATCAACTTTTTTTTTCTCGCCATAAATAGTGGCCAGACCTGCTGAGTTTCTTGAGCACTCTGTTCTTCCTTCTGATCTCCAGCCTCTGCAGTAATTTGATTCTATTTTACAACAACACTGTAGAGATTTTAGATTTAACAGGCCAGAAGTGGGGAGATGGTGCAGGTCACAACATAGGGAACAAGGATGACTGGCATCTTAGTGCTTCCTGCTGATGCATGGAAAACCAGGCAACAACCACCTGCATTAATATATCACTGATTAAGCAGTAAAATATCCCAAAGTATAGTCCCAAGTTCCACAACGGCAGTATTGGAAAAACAAATCGACACTAGATGATATTAGGAACAGGTTACAAAAAGTTTTGCCAAATCTTAAGGATGGGTACAGAAGTGAAGTAGTATAGGCAGGGAACCCCATAGTTAAATGCTTGGGCAGCTGAAAGCACAGTCACCAAATGTGGGACAAAGGAAATTAGCAATGTTCAAGGGGGTCAGAATTGAAGGAATGCAAATCTAGGAGGATAATTAAGAAGGCTTCTTAACAAGCACCTCCCAACCCACACCCACTTCCATCTAGAAGAACAAGCATAGTTGAGGTGTGGCAACACCACCATCTACAATTTTCTCTCCAAGCCACTCGCCATCCTAATATATGAATATATAATCACCATTCCTTCACTGTTTTGAGGAAGGGTCACCGAACCTGAAAGGTTAACTGTTTTTTTCCCTTCACAGATGCTACCAGACCTGCTGAGCTTTTCCAGCAACTTTTGTTTTTGCTCCATTTCTTCACTGTCGCTAGATCAAAATCCTGGAACTCCCTCCCGAATAGCATTGAGAGTCTAAACAGACTGCAGAGGTTCAAGTATGCAGCTCATCCCCATTTTCGCCAGAGCAGCTGGGCAGAACAATAACTGCTGTTCCAGCCAGCATCGCACATCCAGTGAATACAGTTGTATTGCTAACTGGTGGTTCGATATACTGTGTAACCTGATTTACTGTAACACAATAAAAACAGTTATGAGGAGAGATTGTACAAATTAGGCCTGTGTTCTTTAGAATTTAGAAGGTTCAGGGGTGAGCTGATCAAAATCTTCAAGCAAGTAAGTGGAAAGGTAAATAAAAAGATAAACTATTTCCAATGATTGGGATTCTAGAATTAGCGGCTTAGTCCAAGAATTAGGGCCGGACCATTCAGAAGAGGTGTCAGGAAGTACTTCTACACACACAGGATGGTAAATGTTTGGAACCCTCTTCCACAAATGGCAGTGGGTGTTGAATCAATTGTTAATTTTAAATCAGAGATAGATACATTTTGTTAAGCAAAGGTATGAAGGGATATGGGCCAAAGGCAGGTATGTGCAGTTAGGCCACAGATCAGCCATGATCTCACCGAATTGTGGAACAGGCTCAAGGGGCTAAACAGCCTGATCTTATTCCTTTGTTTCTATTTAGTAAAGCTTATACTTATACAAGCAACTGAATCATTTTCCAAGCGACAATTGCTTCATGTTATTTTCATTTTCTACTTCACGTCTACCACGAAGAGTAGAACACAAGACACTGGGTCAGTTATTTACCAGCAAGAAAGGAGGCCATTCAGCTCATCAAGACTCTCTGGCTTCCTACGGAGCAAGCCAATTAATCCTATCCCCACTCTATCCTTGTAGCCCTTACAAGTTTCTTTCTTTCCAGGACTCAAATTTTCTTATGAAATCATTAATTGTCTCCCCTTCCACCATCCTCAAAGACAATATTTCAGGTCATTATCATTCGTTGTGTTGTAATTTTTTTTCCCCCCCGAATAGTTCCTCTATCTTTTGCTCAAAATCTTAAATTTGTTCCTTTTCCTTGTAACAACATCTAATGAAATTGATTCTTCCACGTCTACTTTATGCAAATCTGACACAAATCGTGCACTCCTCCAGTACCTTTGCTCTAAGGAGAAAAGTACCTGTTTCTCCAGCAAAAACTTGTAGTTAAAAATCTCCCAGCCATGGTACCATTCCATTAAAGGATGCTCCTTCTTAAAGTGTGGGAAGGAGAAAGGTGTTTAGTATAACTTCCTGATAGTAATTTCTTTAAAAAGCAAGACAAATCAGATTAAACGTGTCCATTCAACATGGAAATTCCATGTTCATCATAAACATACACATTTACCCTACCTTGCTAAAGAACTTAACAAAAGTGGCCAGTGACATTTTTCACCCCGTTATGCAGGTTCCAGAGCTTCAGATGAAGGATAATTCAACACAGATGCACAGTAACAAGACTCCAAACGTCAAACTCATAAACTAACACTTTCTACAGCAGCCAGCCATCATCACATTATCAAAAGTCTCACAAAGCATACAACATCTCTGAAACTAGTCAGAGTAATATCCACCGTAAAACATCACTGACTGAACATGGAACGTTGCAGGAAGGGCTACTGCAGAAATGTCAGGATACAAACTATTATCTGGGAAGTAATTACTTGAAATAATGACATTGTAAACCATCCATTCCTTGTTAAAGTTGAAAAATTTTAACAGTGCAGAGAAAATGATTACAAGGCAAAACAGCAGAAAAGTTCTCTTGGCAAATGTTAAGACCACATAACAGAAACATTTGGAATCTTGCGTACAATAGAATGATACAGCACTGGCAGAGTACTGGCCTATTGCGAGATGGTTCTTTGAAAGAACTATACAATTAGCCTCAACTCACTCCTTCCCATTTTCCCTTTTCAATATACTCTTTTAAAGGATACTGAATGAATTTGCTTATTCCAGACATTTAGGCAATAGGTTCCAGGTCATCAGTTTGTTCGCTGGTGACCAACTCTTTTACCAGTGGAAATCACTTTCTTATTGACTCATCAAAATCCATTTTGAATGTTCAATTATACTTTCTTTCAACTTATTCTGTGGTGAGGAGGCAATAATTGCAATTCCTCCAACTTTTCAAACAAACAAATTCCGAGAAGTAGGAGCCCACTCAGCTCTTCAAGCCTGCTCTGTCATTTAAGACAATCACTCCTCCGATTAAACGACATTCCCACCGACCAAGAAAACCTTCAACCCCAGGCTTATCAAAAATATAACTGCTGCTTTAAAATATTCAAGGACTCTGCTTTCATCATGTTTTGAGAGAATAAGATCCAAACAGTCATGACTTTCAGGGAAAGAATCTTTCCTCATCTGCTCTAAATGGATCCATTATTTTAAAACCATGACTCCTAGTTCTACATTCTCCCATAAGAGAAATCATCCTTTCTGCTTGCACCTCTCAGGATCTCATAGGTTACCCGTTACTCTAAACTCCAGTGGGTACAGGCCTAGCCTGTCCAATCTTCCTTCATTCAGACAAACTAACTATTCTGGATATTAATCCAGTAAACCTTCTCTGAACCAAATTCAATTTATTTATATCCTTCCCTAAATAAAATGACCAATACTATGCACAGTACTCCAGATATGGTCTTACTAATGCCTTGTATGACTGAACTATGATCTCCATACTTCGGCATTCAATTCAATAAACAATAACATTCTATTATATTTTGTAGATATTTGTTGTACCCTCATACTAACCTCTTGTAATTCATGTATGAGGACATACATCTATCTGCAAACTTTCACCATTTAGATAATATGCTTTTCCATTCTTCCTTCCATGGCCCCTTCCTCTTCACAACTGACTTTTCTACTTATTTTTGCATCATCTGAAATTTAGCAATGATACTTTCAGATGCTTCACCAAAATCATTTATATAAATAGCAATAAGTTGAGACACACTACTTATTACCAACAGAAAATAGCCAACTTTTGCCTATTTGGCTCCCTGCTAGATAGCTAAGCTTCTACCTGTATGAATACACCAACACCATGAGCTTCTTTTTCCACAAAAACCTTTGAAATGGCATCCTACCAAATGACTCCTGGGAATCCAAATACAGTACACTCAACATTTAGCTTTATCCACAGCACGCTACTTTTTCAAAGAACTCCAATAAACTGGTTAAACAAGATTTCCCTTTCACAAAGCCATGTTCACTCTGCCTGATTACTTTGACCTTTACAAGTGCCCTATAATATTTATAACAGTAGTTTTAAACATCTCCGTTTTGACAGATATTAAGCTAACTAGCCTTTAGCTTCCTGCTTTCTGACTCCTTTATTTTTGAAAAATTGGAGTTACATCCACATTTTCCAATCTAATGGAACATTCCCTGAATGTAGGAAATTTTGGAATTTCCAAGCCAAAATATCTCACTAGCCACTCCTTTCAAAACCCTAGGATTAAGTTCATCAGAACACAGGGATTTGCCCACAATACCAACAAATTGTTCAATACCACTTCCCTAATGGATTTTTTTTTTGCTCAAGTTCCCCATTCCCTTCCATTTCCTGACTTGGAACAATTTTTGAGATGCTACTTGCATCCTGTATTATGAAGGCCAATTCAAAATAACAGTCAATCATGTGCCACATCCTTATTTTTTCATTATCAACTCCATAACTCACTTTCTACAAGGCAAACTCTGATTTAACTACTAAAAGTTTTGCTTTCTCTCAAATAAAAATTTAAAAATTAATTCTCGCATTCTTATAACCCTTCAACAATAAATTACATTTAAACAATGCTTTTCATAGAGTAAAACTTTGCACAGCACTTCACAATGTCAGACTTTGTTTGAAAATACATCTAAGTTGAAAAGTTGATATTAGGACAAATGAGCAGAAACATGGTTAAGGAGATAGATGTTAAAGAGTGCCATAAGAGGATAGGAAAGAGGTAAAGAGATCTAGCGCAGCAACTAATAAGTTTGAGGCCCTGGCAGATAAAGACATAGCTGCTAAAGGTGGAGTTAAAATTGGGGATGCACAAGGGGTCAGAACTGGGAGGAATTCAGAGATGGTCTCTGCACCCTCTACAAGGCTTCAACATCCTTTCTACAAGTATGATGCTCAAAATTAGACAGTGCATTCTAATCTCCCACCAGTGGAAACAGTTTCTCCTTATTTACTCTATTGAAACCTTGATTAAGAAGTACAACATAAAGATTCTCACCTTGGTATCAAGATCTGCTGACTCAACGCAGTCATCCTTCGAGACAAAACGATCAACACTGCTGTCAGAGGACTGCCGGCTGTGGCCCATGTGACTTAACAAATGAGATTTGTTTACTGCTGTAAGATTAAGAGAAATTATTTTTCTACTCTGCTTTTCTAAATTAAAATATAAAGATTTTCTCCCTAATTTTCTAGGTCAACTTGTGCCACTCCCTGGCTGTAGTTAGAAGCAGATGACCTACTCTCAGGCAGCCACAAAAGTTAAGCTGCAGTCAGTCTTGAGCACCACAACCTTGGCTGACACTAGCATTGTGCTGAAGGATTTCCCTGCATTGTACGAGGCCTAACTACCTTTCCCCTCTTCTGGCGATTCAGGTAAAAATCACCATGGCACTATTCAAACGAGTTTCAAAAATTCTCCTAGTGCCTTAATCTAACATTCCTTCCTCAGCAACACCATCAAAAACTGATTAACTAGCTATTAACCTCATCACTGCCTGCGGAATCTTGTGGTGCATTAAAATGGATGCTGTCTTTGCCAACGTATCACTTGCTGAACTTCAAAGAAAATTCATTGTACATGATGCGCTTTGATACGTTTGAGAGACGCAATAAGGCGCTATATCAATGTATTGAAGTAGTCTTCCAGTCAGTGAGAATGCATAAGTGAGGTTAGTTCAGCCTCCACGTATCCTGCATTTACCTTACATAGGAAAACCTATGTAGCTGAATTAGGGCTTACAACTTACAACTACTAAGAACACCGCATGTGCTTTTTATTTCATGCGCTCATTATTTCATGTGCTCACTGTACACGAGTTCCAATGCGAGTGCATTGGTCACTTCTCTAGCACCATGAAAACATTAGTTAGGAAGGCAGCATGCTAGAATACCAGATGGCAGTACCTCTGCCATGCTGGTTCAGTATCACAGTTGCCGAGTTTTCCAATTTCAACTGCATCCTTGGTCTGACATGTTAGATGAAGGAAGGCACTTCACCAAGCAGGAGTGGTTGTTGAGGGTCAAGTGGACAGTTTGATTGGCTTTATCAACAACGCATTCACATCAGGTTCACAAGTTGCTAGGTTTGAGCAAAGACTCGATGACTGAGTTGATGCATTGGGGAAAAAGGAATGAAACCAAAAACACTTTCAAGATACCTCACTGGCCTTTCACAAAGGTTCTTGTGAAAATGGGTCTCTAGGACATGGTGGCAATGGAATCTCCAACATACCGTAGCACCTCTCTCACCATACCTATGACAGTATAGGACTGAAAAATTCTCTCCACTTTATCAATTACTAAAGTTCACAATAATTTGATGATTTGCCTCTTGCTCTTCTGATCTTCCATTTGAAAGGCTTGCCACCAATTCATGATGACAAAATCTGCACTAAGATATTTTATGATGCAGAAAAATAAGGAGGAAATAAACAGGATCAGTCAGGGACAAACACACTGGAAAATTTCCTTTCTGAACCCACCCAACCCTTCAAACATCATGCAATGAAGTATGCCCCACTAAATATTGTTGGTGCTTAACATAACCCCACTTTGCATGAGATGAAGACTCAATGCAGTGCCCAACTCTAACACAACTATTCACCAAAATCTCTAAATACCCTTTCTCCAACAACAGAAATCTAACTTCTCTATTCAAGAAAAAGTAGTAGGGGTCTAAAAGTCAGTTACAGTGACATTAACACAAGTTGCTGGAAAAGCTCAGCAGATCTGGCAGCATCTGTGAAGAGAAATCAGAGCTAACATTTTGCATCTGGTGACCATTCCCTAGAACCCTCAGTTTTGAGGAAGGGTCACCGGACCCAAAACATCAACTCTGATTTCTCTTCAGAGATGCGGTCAGACCTGCTGAGCTTCTCCAGCAATGTGTTTTTGTTTCTGATTTACAGTACTCGCAGTTCTTTCGGTTTTTATGCTGACGTTAAGCGAGTCAGTGCAGAAGTGCTGGAATCTATTTTTAAATAAGTCTTAACAACACACCTCAAAAAGCACTGTATGAGCAGACAAAGTCAACATGGTCTACAAATATTGTTTGACAAATTTGTTAAGAATTTTTTGAAGATGTAACCAGTAAGGAAGAGAAAGGAAGACCAGTAATACACAGATTTAGAAAACAGATTTAGCATTCGCTAAAGGTGCCACATAAAAGGTTAACAGGCAAGATTCATGTAGTTAGAAGTAATATACTGCATAGATGGGAGTACTGGTTAAAAGATAGAGAACAGAGGACAAGGACAAATGATACACAGTACAATGGCAGGTTGCAATAAGTGGAGTGCCACCTGGATAAGTGCCAGCCCCTCAGTTACACATAATCCACATTAATGACTTAGATAATGAACCCCACATCAACGAACCAAGATTTGCCATCAATAGTTAGGTGGCACTATAAACTGTGAAGAGGGTACATATATAGGCAGGTTAAGTGAGCAGTCAACAAGGTAGCAGATGAGTTATGATGTGGGGAAGTAAGGGGTTACTCATTTTGATACCGTATTGTAATAGGAGACAAAGCCCAAAATTTAGATTCATAACTTTCAGAGGAGAGAAATTTCATATCTGAATGGTTAAATCCTTATTCTGAGACAATGGCTCCTAGTTCCAAATTGTCCAGCTGGGATAAAATCCTCTCACAGCATCTATCCTATCCTCTTAAGTAGTCTGTACACTTCAATTTAACCACTGCTCATTCTCCTTAACTTCAAATAATATCATACATTATCTCACCCCATCAGATAGTCACTTATACCAGGAAAAATTCTATAATAACTACAGTTTAAGCAGCACCTTCAAGATAGTGAAACATTAAAATTGCATCACAGGAAGAAAGATGACATTAGGGTAGGTGGAAGCTTTAAAGAGCATTTAAAAGGAAAAAAAAGTAGTTGGAGACTCCAAGAGGTTTATAGAGGGAATTCCAGAGCTTAGTGCCTTAGCAGCTGAAGATGACGAACTGTGGTGGAGATATTAAAATAGACGGTGCTGAAGAGATCAGAATTGGAGAACTGGCAGATATCTGGGAAGGTTGCAGGACTGGAAAAGTTTAGAAATAGGGACGGGCAAGGCCGTGGAGGAATCTACATACAAGGATGAGAATTTGAAAGCTGAGGAGATGCTTAACCTGGTGTTGGTGTACATCAGCAAGTACAGGGATGAAAGTCTTTGTTTCACTCCTTGTGACAAGGATATAATTTCTCAGGTAATGAGACCAGAACTAATCATTGTCCCCTGTGTGTGATGTCACTAGTGCCCAATACAACTCAGTTACACAATTACTGAGCATCTTTAAATCTGTGTAATCACCCCTCAACTATCCAAATTCTGAGAACACAAGTCAACTTTGTAATCTGGCCTTGTTATTTAACTGTTGGAATGCAGGTGTCATTCTGGTAAATCTGCACCATACACCAACCAAGATCAATAAATCCTTACCAAGGCATGATACCCAGACCAAACAAGTATCCAAATTTGGTCAAACTGAGGGCTTCATCCAAAAGACAGCTATAAGAAATAGAAACTGGAATAAGCCATTCTGCCCCTCAAGCCTGCTCTGCCATTCAATAGTATCATGGCTGGTCTGACATTCATGTCCACTTTCCTGTCCTGTACCCATTACCCTCGACTCCCTAATGATCAAGAATCTATCTCAGCCTAACATATAAACAAGGACTCTGCCTGCCCACAGCTCTCTGTGGCAAGGTGTTCCAAAGACTTTCAACCCTCAGAAGTAACTCCTCATCTCAGTTTTAAATTAGTACCCTTTTATTCTGACTGTGCCCTCTGGTCCTAGAATCTTCCATGAGGGGAAATATCCTCTCAGCAGTTACCCTGCCGAGCCCCTTAAGAATCCTACTTGTTTCAGTGAGGTCACCCCTCATCTCAACTCCCACGAGTAGAGAATTGTACAGCACTATTATCCAAGCTTGTAAATATGAAGACCAACCTTTTTTGGATTTGCGTACTTATCCATGAAGTTTTAATAACCTATATTCAGAGAAACCAACTTTTATTTGGATCTCCAACAATTTCTAGTTTTTGAGAATTGATCTATCCTTTTTTTTTAGGGTGATCACTTCAAATTGAAATCCATTTGCACCAATTTTACCCATTCACCATTTATTAATATAAGAACATAGGAATTAGCAGGGGAGACCATTTTACCCCACAAGCCTGTTCCACCAGTCAATAAAATCATGGATGATCTGACTGTGATCTTCATTAATGTTCTTGTCAGTCTGCATAATCCTCAACTCCCTCAATTAGAGATGTGTCCAGCTCAGTCTTGAATATATTCAATAAGTCAGCCTTCACTGCTCCTTCAAGTAGAGAACACCAAAGATCAATGGCCTTCTGACAGAAGAAATATCTCCATCTTAAATAAGACAGCCCTGGCTCTAGATTCCCTTAAAAAAAGGGAAGTATTTTCTCAGCATCCACTCTAGCAAGACCCTCAAAAACTTGTATATTTCAAAAATATCTCTTCATATGGCTCCACCTGTATTACATATAAAAGCACCCATGTTTGTGACTTTGGTAGATTTGAATATTTGGTTCTCTATCTTATTGCTTGAATTATTAATAAATAGCAAATAGGTGAGGCCCCAATAGGTTACTGTTAGTCACATTCTGCCAATTAGTGTACTTATCTTGACCCTCCATTATTGGTAATGACCTGTGCTTCGAGTCTTGAGTCAAACATTCCAAATTTAAAACAAAAGTTGTTAACCTAGAAAAATCTACAGTTGCCTCTTGACTCTCCATAAAATCCTGTATGTTGGAGGAGATATTTCAGAACGTGGGACTTACAAACCTGAACTTCTGCTCAAACGGGGGAGTTCAATATCATGCAGGTCAATGAAGGAAAGTAAATAGCATATTGGGAAACAGACAGCAAGAGCTAAGGAAACCTTAGCAAAACTGCTGAAAATACTGTCAGGGTTTGAAAAGTAAGTGGTCAAATTTTGGCTACATGAAAACATTTTATCACAGGTTTGACAGGTTTAGACCATGCACATCATAACGCAAACATATTAGGGCTACAGTCCTAGTCCTTTCCCCAAAACTCATCTTTTGTTTGACCTTTTGTGCTTGTGAGGCTCCCTTTAAACAATTCCAGACTGAGAAGCAGTGGCCCAGTTGACAGTGTTCCAATTCTCATAAGATCTCATACATATGGAATTTACAGCAAGTTTTCATTTATAGATCACTAAAATATTATAAATATTCACAGCAATATAATCACACAAAATTTGAGATCAAACAATATAAGGAGGTACTAATGCTACGTGTTAAGTTCTGAAGGGTTTCCCAAAAGGTTGGAAAGAAAGACAGGTGGTCTAAGAGAAAGAATTCCAGAGCTGAGGGCCCAGACAGCTGTTAGCTTATATGCTAAGTGAACAATTAAAATAAGGGATATTGAACAGGCAAGATTTGAAGGAACACAGATATCAGAGGGGCAAGGCAATTGGGGGAAGAGGAAAGGAGAGGGGGCAGGGCTGTAAAAGTGAGGTTCAGAATGTTAATTTAGATACTGCTCATCATGAAGCCAATACTGGGCAGTGAACACAGAGCAAATGAAACTTGATGCAAGTTAATGCATGTCAGCAGCTTTGCATGACAGTAAATGTGGGACATTAGCCAGGACTGCTGGAATAGTCATGCTATAAATATGGCACAAACAGGTCATTCGGCCTAACTGGTTTATGCCAAGTACAAGTTGCATCTGGACCTCTTCGCAGTCTACTGCATTTCACCCTACCAGCATGTGTTTCTATTCCTCCTTGTATAATTACCTAACTTCCCTTTGCAGTTGATCAATGAAGGAGATGTTTACTCTATTCACAAGAAATGAAGTGAAGGGCTGGAGTCAAATCAATTGTGAGCCTGTAACATCTGAATTCAGCAACTCTCGTCAGGGAGAGCTCTGCAAATTCTCAGGAAAACCACACAATACAGTGTATTGTAGAAACTAAGCCTAGCGTATACATTGGACAAGTCCAAGCAAATGGAACCTACATAGTGTTAAGATATTTTAATAAATGTACTAAGCTGTTATGATCATGCCCATTAGTTTCTTTCATTCTTTTCCATCAGAATTCAACACTTCAAGCCCAAGTCTTACAAAATGACTATCGAGAGAAATCAGAGATCAAGTTTAAAAATATTGATTATGTCTTGATTATTTTGCATAGGATTCTACAGCATAGAAACTATACTAGTGTTTACACTTAACCTGAGCATCCTTTCACCCTACTATATCTTATATTGCCAGCACGTCCTTCTATTTCTTTCTCCAACATGAACTAATCTAACTTCCTCTTAAAGGTAATTATTGTATTCACTGCAACTATTCCTTATAGTGGAAAATTCCACATTGTCACCATTTTCTAGGTAAAGAAGTTTCTCCTGAATTAGCCTCTCTGCTCCTATGATGCTGCTTGGCCTGCTGTGTTCATCCAGCCCTGCACCTTGTTGTCTCCTGAATTCCCATTGGTTTTTTTTATTAGTGATTATTTCATACATATGGCTCTTAGTTTTCATTTCCAACACAAATGAAGATGTCTTCCCTAATATCATGCTATTTCTCACCCCCAAAGCAAAAATGCTGGAGAAACATGCAAATGGTTACAAAATCAAGAGCAAGAAGAATTCAGCACATCATGAAGACTGTCAGGTAATACATTGCTAAAAGTATCAAATACATGCTTTAGTATTGTCAACAATTAGGTTTCGAACAATAATGCCATTTGTGATGAGGTACAACCAACCTGAACATTGATGTCATATCAATTCTCAACTCAGTCCCTGCTGTTAATACCTAGGATTGTTTCAATACATCAGGACAACATACCAAGGGTGGAAGTTGCAAAACTGTCTAGAAGTGCATCTCCAGGAGTATTTGGCGTATCCTCCTCCTCATCTTGAAGCTGTCCAATCTGCATTGCCGAATACTGACTATCTGTCCCGTCGAGTACCTGGTTCAAACAAGCAGATCCAGTATTCATTTGCAACACGTTTCACAAGATCTGCACCATTTTCCTGTTAATTGAATCCTCATTTCTTCCAACTTCCTTTCAATAAAGGTGTTGATCACTCCCTTGATGCTTGCAGGGATCAGTGATCATCTTACCTAACTGATGAGAGCTGGCAAGATTAAAGATAAACAGGTGGAACATCTCCAAAATTAAGAGGGCTTCATAATCAGGCAAGTGGTCTATCAGACTGTTTGGTTTGTGGAAGAGAACAATGGCAATGTCTCCAGATAAAAGCAGAGTGATTTCTCCAGGAAAAGGCAGCGAATTGAGGCTAGTTATATTCCACTTATAAGAGCAAAACCAAGTACAGTCACTTACCCAGAGATGACTGACAACATTACCCAATCAATCACTTTTGTCATATTTGGGGGTGCTGATGTCACTATGCAGCCAAGAGAAGAAAGATGGTCTGCTGCAGCAGAATCCATGAATTCTTCAAAAAAGAAAATAAAACAGCGTTTGCAAAACAAAATCAGAAATAGTTGAAGAAATTCAGTAGGTTTGACAGAATCTGTGGAAAGTAAAACAGAGTTAATGTTTCAAATACAGCGACCTTCAGCCAGAAGGGTCCATAATGACAAAAGATCACAAATCAAAACATTAGCTGTTTTTCTCTCCACAGATGCAACCAGTCCTGGTGAGTTTCTCTAGCACTTCCTGTTTTTGTTTCAGATCTCCAGTATTTGCGGATCTTTGCTTTATTTTGCTGATTGCAAAAAAAATGCTTAGAGGTTTGCAGTAACTGGAATGAGATGCTAAATTACATCAACATTGTGATCTTGCATCAAAAGGTTGTTTGTTTTCCAATAGTTCATCAAGTTCAATACTGGGTTCGGCGGTGGGGACCGGGCATAGCGGGGACCAGAAGCAGTGAAATCATACATCATTTCTGTGCTGATTTATGGAATGATACAAGTGGAGAGTCTAAAAGCTGGAAATGCACAGCAGGTCAAATACTGAGGTCAGCCAAGGGTTCAAATGGTAAAAAAGAATGGAATTTCTTTGCCCTTACGTATGTTACAGTTTTGTGTATTTCCAACATTTCTTGGTTATCTCCAGGACATTTTATCCAATAATGAAGCCCACTTCTAAAAACTACTGTCACATGTGTCGCCCACTGATAGCTGGCAGCTAATTGAGCTGAAATGGTTCCGGAATTTAAAGAAAAGATTTGCCAAAATTAATTTTGCTATCACTGTCAGCTGTCAATGAAAATTTTGACATTGATGATAACAGAACCAACAAGTGGGTATTACAAAGGTAAAATCCACGAGAGGCAAATAGCATTAAATAAGGCACACCACCTATAAAACATTAGTGAAAAATACTGAAAAATATATTTCAATTAGCAGACACAGATTTAAAAAGATAGAAATAGCTCTAATCTTGGACGAAGGTAAGGTGCGTGAATATGGAGCTATATATTCTACTCAATTCTCAAGACAGCATCAGACTGATAGCTTTGACCAAATCTCTCTTACATAAGTGACAATTTTTACTTCACATACTTAGGATTCAATTAAAAATCTTCTTAGCATGCCTTTTCAACTTACGAAAAATGTTTGCATGCTAAAAGCCCCCAATAAAGTTCGAGGATGGCCACCAAAATGTTCAGGAAAATCCAACTTAACTTCTCGAAGCATTCAGGCCAGCATGCAGCAGTGGTGATGTGGGCCAGCACCAGCAAACCATGCGCACTAAGCTCCTGAATTCAGTCGAGATGCTGTACCAGAAGGGTCACGTTGTGGCCAGGCATTTACTCAGGGAGCAAAAGCAAGCAAAACCAAAAAAAGGGCACAAAGTGAGAGAGGGAGGAAGGGAGGGAGTCAGTGGCACAAGGAGAGAGATGTGAAGGGGACTTGGCAGTGACAGGGTAAAAGGCAAACCATCAGTGAAACACCGGGGTGGGGGAGCAAGGGGAGGAGGCATAAAGTGAGAGGGTGAGTCACAGTAAACGTGTCAGAGGAATAGGGGAGTCATCGGGGAGGTGGAGAGCTGGGAGGGGGGAGGGGGGTTGCTTCGTGGCGGTGGGTGGAGGGGGGTGGGGAGAGGTGGTGTAAAATGAAGCAAAAAAAAAAAAAAACACACAACAGGAAAATCATTTTAGGCCACACGTGCAACTTGCGACCAGCATCAGATGATGTTCAGAAGCCAGAAGACCCCTCAGCCACAGACGGGTCACAGCAGCGACTTTGGAAAGGAGATTTTTTTTTTTTTTTTTTTTAAACAAAAGCTATTTCAATGGGTACAAGCTGCTGACCTTGTCACTGCCACTAGCTGAGGAACTGGAGGAGAAAGTGGTAGTATCCAAGTCTGAGCCCTCCATGGGGGAGCTGTGAGAGATGTCAGGACCCTCAGTGGAGGGCTGGGAGTCCCCCTCAGCCCACTGCACACTTACAAGCTCAGAACTGTCGGACGGGGTCACAGCTGAATCTGGGCCCTCGGTGGTCTGCGAGCTCTCACTGAGCGGAGATATGGCCTGATTGGTCCTATCGTTCTGGTCTACATTGGTGTCTGACTGAATGGTGCTGATCTGGCTGGAACTTCGGCTCAGTGCCTCATCAACCTCCCCTTCAACTGCAAGGCCTGTCAAGTCTGATGTTGCTGAACTATTGAGATCGACAGACTCTGCAGACTGCAGAGTATGCTGAGAACGTGGCTGCTGAGTGATGATGTCATGTCCAGCAGTTTCTGGAAGTGGGTTTGTCGACCCCAAGGTTGAAACCCCTGAAGGAGATGGAACATCAACTTCACTGTTCATTGAACCTAAAAATGAGAGTGAAAACAACACATTAGCAAGCTCATATCTATTATATACTTCCAAAAATAAATACCAGACTTTAACACGTTATGAAGTGAGATTATCTTCACACTGTTATGAACTCCAATACATAAATGTACCACATTGTTCTCATCCTTTCATTGGACAGTCTAGTTTTTGTGCTCAAGCCTTTGGAGTGCCATTATGGGGATACATACACGCAGTTGCCCCACAGAACAGCAAACCCTGGTCCTGAAATTCCATGGGATCGTACCATACTTTTGGAGCAGGGGGAGCAGCAGGGCCAGGCATGGTTTTTTTTTGGGGGGGGGGGGGGTGAACAGTGTGGGGACAGTAGAGGAAGTGGCAGGACCACAAAGCATGGGAAATGAGCACTGAACACACTGCTGATACATACCTGGAAAAGTAGCAGTGCTGACCTCTGACCGGGTCTCCGGATCATCTTCAAGTCCGTCCTCTTCTCCGGAAACCATTTTGCCTATTAACACACATTGGGTAAAAATAAAGCTTCAAGTGTAAACCAAAAAATATTTTGCATAAACTGCCAAACCCATTATTTAGAAGTTCAGAAAATTAATTATTGAAAACAAATTCTAAACAAATCATCCAAATTGGTAAGCACACTGTGGTAATACTTCAAATTCCTAATCCATCCATACATTCAGTACTGCCCCTGCTTGTCCTTGGTGAAAGCAGTGGATGTCAAAGGTTGTGTATTGAGGTGCCAATGAAGCACACTGCTTTGTACTGGACAGTGCTGAACTTCTTGAATGTGGCTGGAAAGTGGAGAATATTCCATTACACTCCTGACTTGTAGACAGACACCGTGGAGATATTTGGTAAATATACACACTCCTTGAAGGTGACCAGGCAAGTGTTGAACATTGTTATAAGGGCATTAAAAGAATGCTTAGATAGAAAATGAGGTACAGAGTACAAATACAAGAAAGAAATTCTAAACCTTTATAAATCAATGGTTTGATTCCAGCTGGGGCAATGCGTCCAATTCTCACGCTTCAGGAAAGATATAAAGGCCTCAGCAAGAATGCAGATGAGATTTCTGAGAATATTACCAGTTACAAGGAGAGACTGAAAGTTTGGGACAAAAAGTGATAGATAAATAACTAGTGAATCAGTTCATGGTGGTGCTGATTGAGAACTGAATGTTAGCTAGGAGAATTTCATTAAACTGAGTGGGCAAAAGGGACTTGTGAAGATGACATCTGGCAATGTACACTGTCCTACAATACCAAATTCAGCCTTGATCATCCATACAGATCCTAAATTGAAAGATTAATGCTCAAGCTCCTTCCTCATTGGTGAGGATGTTGCCACTGAGCCAAGATATTAACTTTAGTTAAAATAATTTAAGACTTATGGTGGTGCTGGTTGAGAGCTGAATGTTAGCTAGGAGAACTTCATTAAACTTAAATTTAATCCTAAGATTTATTTGCATCATCGTTAGCCATGGGTGAGGTCACGGAAGACTGGAGGGCAGCGAGTGTTGTGCCCTTATTCAAGGAGGGCTGCAGAGAAAAACCTGGGAATTATCGACCAGTAAGCGTAACATCTGTGGTAGGTAAGTTACTTGAGAAGATTCTGAGGCATGAGAGAAACGTGCACTTAAAGACAGGGTTTGATTAGGAGCAGTCAGCATGGCTTTGTGCTTGGGAGATCATGCCTCACAAATTTGTTAGAGTTCTTTGATGAAGTGACCAGGAAGGTTGATGAGGACAGGGCAGTAGACATAGCCCATATGGATTTCTGTAAGGCTTTTCAAAAGGTTCCACATGGTAGACTACTCTGGAAACTAGATCGCTAGGAATCCAGGGAGAGCTGGCAAGTTGAATACACAATTGGCTTTATGGTAGGAAGCAGAGAGTAATAGCGGAAAGATGCTTGTCGGACTGGAGGCCTGTGAGTAGTGGCGTGTCTCAGGGGTCGGTGCTGGACCCATTGTTGTTTGTTATCATAGAAGCCCTACAGTGTGGAAACAGGCCCTTCGGCCCAACAAGTCCACACACTGGCCCTCAGAGCATCCCACCCAGGCCCATGCCGCATAACCCACCTATTCTACACATCACTGAACACTACGTGCAATTTAGGATGGCCAATCCACCTAGCCTGCACATCTTTGGACTGTGGGAGGAAACTGGAGCACCCGGAGAGAACATGCAAACTCCACACAGACACAGTCTCCACACAGAATTGAACCCAGATCCCTGGCGCTGTGAGGCAGCAGTGTGATATCTATATCAAATGATTTGGATGAGAATGTAGAAGGCATGATTACTAAGTTTGCAAATGACACTAATAAAGACAGTATCATGGCCAGTGAGGAAGGTTATCAGAAATTGCAGCTGGGGAAATAGGCCAAGAAATGGCAAATGAAGTTTAATATAGGCAAATGTGATGTGTTGCATTTTAGAAAGTCAAATCAAAGTAGAAATTTCATGGGGAATGGTAGGTCCTTAAGGAGTGTGGTGGAACAGAGGGACCTTGGAGTTCAGGCTTTTGGCACACTGACTTTATCAGTCAGGGCATCGAGTACAGAAGTTGGGAAGTTATGTTGCAGTTATACAGGACATTGGTGAGGCCGCACTTGGGAGTATTGTATTCAGTTTTGGTCACCTTACAATAGGAAGGATGTTATTAAACTGGAAAGAGTGCAGAAGAAATTTACAAGGATGTTGCTAGGGCTCAAGGAACTAAATTACAGGGAAATGTTGGACAAGCTAGGAATTTTTTCTTTCAAGCATAGGAGACTGGGGGCGGGGGTTCTTACAGAAGTGTACAAGATCATGAAGGGCATGGATAGCATGAATGCACTCAGTCTTTTTCCCAGTGTTGGGGAATTGAGGGCATCAGTTGGAGGTAAGAGGCGAAAGAATACATGGGAACCTGAGGGGCAACTTTTTTCCCCCACACAGAGGGTGGTACGCATATGGAATGAGCTGCCAGCGAAGGTGGTTGAGGCAAGTACATTAACAACATTTAACAGGCATTGAACAAATACATGGATAGGAAAGGTTTAGAAGGTTTTGGGCCAAGTGGGGTTAGCATGGATGGACATTTTGGTTGGCATAGACCAGCTTGGGCCGAAGGGCCAGTCTCCGTGCTGAATCCATGGCTTACCTTCCGGCATGTCATTACACTGTCCTTACAACATGAAAACAAGACTTTTGGCCCAACCATTCCATGCCACTATCTGCTTCATATGATCCTGCTTCCACCCTCGTTCATCTAATCTCATCAAGACCATAAGACAAAGGATCAGAAATTAGGACATTCAGCCCATTGAGTCCGCTTTGCCATTCAATCACGGCTGATGTTTCTCAGCCCCGCTCTCCTGCCTTGTCCCTGTAACCTTTGATCCCCTTAACAATCAAGAACATATCTATTTCTGTCTTAAACATATTCAATGACCTGGCCTCCACAGCCTTCTGTGGCAATGAATTCAATAGATTCACCACTCTCTGGCTGAAGAAGTGTGTCTTCATCTCCATTCTATAGGGTCTTCCCTTTACTCTAATGTGGTGCCCTCAGGTCCTACTCTCTCCTGCTAACGGAAACATCTTCCGAACATCCACTCTATCCATGCCTTTCAGTATTCTGAGATAGTAAGAACTGCTGATGCTGGAGTCAGAGATAACAGTGTGGAGCTGGAGGAACACATCAGGCCAGGTAGCAGCAGGTCCCTTCTTCAGAAATGAGGGAGGGGGAAGGGAGCTCTGAAATAAATAGAGAAGAGGGGTGGGGCTAGGGAAGGTAGGTGGGATGGTGATAGGGGAGTGCAGGTAGGCAGTGTTGGGGATTGGTCAGTGAGGTGGGGGGAGAAGACAGACAGGTCAATGAGACGGGGATGAGAGGGAGGGTTGGTCATGGGATTAGGCTGGGGGTGGGGAGATTTTGAAGCTAGTAAAGTCCACATTGAGTCCATTGGGTTGTAGGCATCCCAAGGCAGAACATGAGGTGCTGCTCCTCCAGTTTCCAGGTGGCGTCAACGTGAAACTGGAGGCGGCTCAGGATGGACTTGTCGTCCAGGGAGTGGGAAGGGGAGTTGAAGTGGTTCGCGACTGGAAGGTGTTGTCGTTTGTCGCGAACCGAGCACAGGTGCTCTACAAAGCAGTCTCTGAGCCTCCGCTTGGTCTCACTGACGTACAGGAGGCCACATCAGGAGCAGCGGATGCAATAGACTACATTAGCAGATGTACAGGTGAACATCTGTCTGATTCATAGATTTCACAGAATTCCTACAGTGTGAAACAGGCCCTTTGGCCCAACAATTCCACACCGACCCTGAGCATCCCACCCAGACCCATCCCCCTATAACCCATCTAATCTACACATCCCTGAACACTACAGGCAATTTAGCATGGCCAATCCACCTAGCCTGATGTGGAAGGTTTTTTTGGGTCCTTGGATGAAAGTGAGGGGGGAGGTGTAGGGGCAGGTGTAGCACTTCCTGCGGTTGCAGGGCAAGGTGCCGGGTTGTGGGGCTAATGGGGAGTGTGGAGCGGATGGGTCGCGGACAGAGCGGTCCCTACGGAAGGCAGATAGGGGTGGAGAGGGAAATATATCTTTCATTGTGGGGTCAGACTTCCATATCCATCCTATAATGAGGCAACCAGAACTGAACACAATATTCCAAGGGTGGTCTAACCAGGGTTTTATAGAGCTGCAGAATAGCCTCACGGCTCTTAAACTTAATTCCCCTGCCAATGAAAGCCAACACACCGTATGCCTTCTTAACAACCCTATCAACTTGGGTCGCAACTTTGAGGGATCTATGGACGGTACATCTGATTCCAGTTTCTCCCCCTCAAATTTTGGAGTGAATTCTATCACAACCTGTTATTGAGTCAAAGTCATAGAGTCATTCAGCACAGAAACAGACCCTTTGGCACAACCAGTCCATGCCGAACATAATTCCAAGCTAAACTAGTCCCACCTGCCTACTCCTGGCCTATATCCCTCCAAACCTTTCCTATTCATGTACTTATCCAAAATCTTTTAAATGTTGTGATTGTATCCACATTCACCATTTCCTCAGGAAGTTTGTTCCACACGCAAACCATCCTCTGTAAAAAACCTGCCTCGTGTCTTTTTTTAAAATCCCTCTCCTCTCACCTTAAAAATGTGCCCCCAGTCTTGAAATCCCCCACCCTAGGGAAAAGACAACTACCATTAACTCTATCTATAACTCTCATTATTTGATAAATTTCCAATAGGTCATCTCGCAACCTCCTACACTCCAGTAGGAAATGTCCCAGCCTAACCAGCCTTTCTTTATAACTCAAACCTTCCATACCCAGCAACATCCTGGTAAATCTCTTCTGAACTCTCTCCAGCTTGATAATATCGTTCCTGTAACTGGGTGACCAGAATTGGACACAGTATTCCAGAAGAGGTCTCAATGTCCCATACAACCTCTACATGATTTGCCAACTCTTAAAAGGGCTGAGCAGTGAAGGCAAG